AAAGAAGTGGCGTGATACTAGTCACGTGACCTCGCTGACGACACAATATTATAGGATAACAAGGCCCTTGAGAATATAGTATTAAACAGTTGAATGTACGTGTTTTCCTATTTTCTTATTTTTTCCTATAAACAGAGGTTCCATTTCATTTTAAACTGGCCCTCCTGTGGCACAGCAGCAAGTCTGTGAAATTATAACGCTAGAAACCGAATTTCGATACCTGTGATGGGCACACCACAAATAGCCGATTGTGTAGCTTTTTGCTTAACTACAAACAAACCAAATTTAAAATTGTGCAATTAAATAAAAAACACTTTCGTACAGATCATCACGAAACGCTTAAGTACAAGTTGGTCTACTCAACATTAACTTGTGCTGATCACAGTGCAGTTGTATTCCAATGAATCCATAAAGGACTCTTTCCAATTAAGATGTAACCATTTTTCCTTAAACTTACCTCAGATCTGTGCAAGTTCTGGTCTGAAATGTGACCCCACCTCCACAACTCCTAGAACATTGGCTATTTTCGGTCCAAGGACCCCATGGCCCAGACTCATCAATTCCAGTACCGATGCCTACGCTAATATTTTGAGGGTAGAATAGGTTCTTTTCACGTCTATGATATTCGTGTCGTAGCCGCTATTGGGTAGAGCAAGTTTTGTTTTTAAGCATTAAATACTTAAACAACTAATGCAATTAATAAAATAGTTACAAATCTACATAAGTAAGTTTTATTACTATCAAAAGGGAAACAATCTTATCTAAATTTAGAGTTATCTGATGGAAAATCTTGGCAATTCATTTTATACGTTGACAGAGAATCATCGGCTTTGTACGTCGACAAAATCTAAATTTATACAAAAAATCTTCATTCAAAACCTTAGCAGTTCATATAATTTAAAATAAAAACACTCAAACATATTATTAACTTCTGTTGGATTGTACGTCAAATTATCATCTTTCTATGCTATTAAAGAGATCTTCTAAACACCTGTCTAACTGAAATATTAATAATTCTTTCCTCGATTTTCTAATAAAATGATTTTCGTTTCTTTTTTTTTGTTGTTGTTGTTATTTGATTTTCACTCTAATTATTGTTTTAAATAATATTCTCCCAGTGGCACAGCGGCATGTCTGCGGATTTACAAGGCTAAAATCCGAGTTTCGATATCCGTGGGGGACAGAGTACAGATAACTCATTGTGTAGCTTTGTGTTAAACTTCAAAGAAATCTAATAAAGAAAATCAAATTCAATAATATATCTAACAAATATCTATCTGGCACACAACCTCGTAACCCATTCAGTTTTTTAGACTCAGCTGACTAATATCTTAAATTCACGTATATTCCAAGACCCAAACAAAGTGTAATCTACAAATAATAAGCTATACAACGGTTTATATTATATAGTCCAAAAAATTCCAGAAGAGTCCATGTGTTTCAGGGCAGATCGAGAACAATACAAGAAACAGAACATCCTAAACAACTGACCATATGTCAAATAAATGGAACTAGAGAAGCAAAGGTTAAGAAAACTTTATTCATAAAGGAATTGCAAACACTGAATAACTGGGAACTACAGAAACAGGAGTTAATATAAAGTGACTTAACCAGAAATTATAAACACTGAATAACTGGAACTACAGAAACAGAAGTTAATATAAAGTGACTTAACCAGAAATTATAAACACTGAATAACTGGAACTACAGAAACAGAAGTTGAGATAACGTGACTTAATAAGAAATTAAAAACATTAAATAAATGTAACTACAGAAACAGAAGTTTAGCTGATTAGATATATTAAGGTCTGGAGGATGCCTGAAGAACGCTTATTACCTGAGTGTGTTGTCCCAACAGTGAAGTTTGGAGGTGGTGGTATCATGGTCTAGGGGTGCTTCTCGTGGTATGGACTAGGCCCACTAGTCGCAGTACATGGATTCATGAATGCTGAGTTCTACATTGATGTTCTGAATAATTCTGTGTGTCCTACATTGTGGCAATTTTACCGGCCCTTACACCTTCCAACATGATAAGGCTTCATATCACAAAGCAAAGATTGTGAACGGTTTGAAAGGAATAACATTGGAACACTGAAGTGGCCAGCACAGAGTTCCGACATCAACCCGATAGAACGTCTTTGGGGTGAACTGGAACGCAGAATTAGGGCAAGGCCAAGATTGCCCTCTTCAGTAGTGGAGCTTACTAATGCTTTAAAGGAGGAGTAGAGCACAATACCACCAGCTTTTTACCAGAAATTAGAAACAGTCTTTCATGACGCATTGAAGCAGTCATTAGGGCCCAAGGCGGGCCAACACGCTATTAATGTCTTGGAATAAAAACGTGTTTTATTCATAACTACCCGTGTCCCATGACTTTTGGTAAGATAGTGTATCTGTCAAAGGGTTATTACTGATTTATGTAACTTCAGTATTAATTAAAGGGCTTGTCTTATTTTCTTCTTTGTTATAAGGTTTAGTTTGTTTTGCGTGGTTGCTTTTCATGTGTTATTTCTTTGTATTGTAAAACAAGCAGTTTTAAAGGGGTCAGAGCAGACGATTTTGATTTCTTGACCAATGAGCGAGTCATTTTTTTTTTTTATAAAGCATCAATAAATCTCTCTGTTCCCTCCTTCCCACAGCCGACACACAAGCACTTGTTTAATCTTTTAGCCTAAACTTTGATTAGGTTTGTTTCAATAAATATCATGACTATTTGTAAACCTGTGCCGTCTTTTCTTTTTGGGCAAAGACTCAGTCAAAGGAGGAGAGAACATGACCCTAATCTATGATAGAGTATCTAAGGAATACTTCAATTTTTTCGGTTCCTGCAGGCTATACTGAGAAAAATCAGGACGATAAGAGAATAACAGACTAGCTAAACATCATATTTCCAATTTTCCGGTGATCCAGCACATTCAAAAATTATAACAGTCACCTGAATATGTTTTTTCAGTGATCCGTTTACAGTATAGAATACAAAAGTTGCTCACAAATTATTGATCTATCATACTAGCTACATCGACAAACAGTAAATGAGCCTACAAGATTCACTTTGTTATCTTACAGAACAATTCTCCTACATAGTCAGACCTTTTTAATACTTGAATAGATATGTATCGCTCCTCACAGAAATCCTAGTGGAAAAGTAAGCATTAAGTTTATTCACTGTTCACCGAAACCACGAATTATAAAACACCAGTACAAAAAAAGAGAGTAATATTTTACAGAAACTTTTAGATATTTGTTAAATATTTGTAACATATATGTATATATATATATATATTCAACCATGGCTTAGTTTTAATAATATTTTAAGAACTGAAAAAAACAATATAATTTATTAAATAGATGTGAACTTTTATCATTGTTTTTCCTAGCAACCACTCATGCGTAATGGAAAAATTTTCGTCTCAGCGTGTTTTTTGCAAGTCACATTTTATGACGTCAGGTTTGAAGATGGGTGAAGAATTATCGATAATTTTGATGTTCAAAGTATGATATTTTTATTATTTTAATGAAATTTCTGATGATGATGTCTCAAAGTTGAAAGCATCGGCTTTTACAAACTATGGCCCACGGTGACTCTGCGATAAGTCCGAAGCTTTATAACATCAAACACCAGGTTTCTATATATACCCGTGGTGGACACAACACAGATAATCAATTGCAGAGCCTTGTACTTAACAAAAATCAAACAATATAAACTATGTATAAAAATTGCTACCAAAACCTATAGATTCTGAGCTAACTTTATCAAAAATATATAAATAAAGTACAAACAAAAACATTAATGTGCCGAATCGGTAATATTAATTATGAGCTTTGAGAGGGTGCACAAACTGTAAAAATATGGTTTAATTTTGCATAACACTTGTTTAAAGTCAAGCAAAGTAATGGTTTAAAATGTTGAAAAATGATTTTAAAACGAAGCTTAATTTCGTCTCAGTTGTTTCAGCGATTGTGTAATGTTACTAATCAGTAAAAAATTAATAAACCACGAATAATACAAGAATGGCTAATTGAAGTTTCAAGTTTACGTATTAGTTAAACCTAATTGGATTCTTTCCTCTTTATGTCTATCAGAAATTCAGAGCAAGAATCCGTCTCTCTGTTTAATGCGCTATTAATGCCTTCCTAACCTCTGAGTAGAATCCTCTGGTATTGGTTTGGACAGGAACCATGGATACTCTCCCTCAGATTGATTTACCTTCAGAGACAATTTCTTTGAAGTTAACACATTGACATACCTCCAAAGACTATCACAGTGGATGAAGTTTGGTTTGGACCACCTGACTTTCTGGATTACGCATTGTTGCACTTTAGGTTAGTTGTCTTCATTATCTTGTGCTTCCATCAGTGTTGTCACTGAAAGTTCAATATCTAATAGTGTAGTTGACATTGAATACACAGGAGTTTCCTCGTCACAGACTGAGAAAATGTTTATAACAAGGCGAACTTCACATCTGTTTCTCTGCATGAAGTCTATTCTAGATATGCATTTTTACTCAATGTCAATTACCCACATACCATGTTGTGTAGAGAAGCTTCCTACTGTAAAGGAGTTCTCTATCTTTCCTCTTCCTGGAACTTTATGGCCACTTGCTGTTCGCAATAATCCATCTTATTTTTCATCTCTGGAAGCAGTTTCCCAGCGTTCACCACCAGATCAGGTTAAACAAAAGTAGTTATAGAACCAGTGTTGATCAATATGTCGTAAGGATTTTGTCAATGAATACATTGATTCAAGGACTGACTTCTTTAAATAATACTCCATCAGATGGAGTATTCTTCCCAACTTTGGTGGTGCTTTTAGTTGCAACTTTAATTGATTCAAGTTCCATTGCGAACTGAACAGTTTCCTTTAAAGATATACACCTACCTCAACTATGGTATATACGAATTTTTTGCATGCCAACTAATCCATAATTTCGTGTGGAACATCTGGATAAAAGAATCAGGCATGTCTTTTCACAACTTTCACAAGTTCGGTTAAGGTCTTGTTTTTTTCTTCTTACGCTACTCCTAAACTTTGATTTAAAAACTTTCCTCTGATATGATAATGAAATTATATTTGGTAAGGTAGTCACAAACGCAGATAGTTGTTACAGCTGTCTCTTGGAAGATTGCTTAATGTTGTTAAAGCTAGCACTTTTAAATGAGCAGCAACATAAGTAGATTGTTGTGCACTACTTTAGCCATTCACTTTGGAAATTATTTCAAGCTGTTCCTGATATGCTTCCCGTGATATCTTTCCATCATAATCTGTGTTGATTTATCGATTGGGCGATTTTGTTGAACTGACCTGATATATTCTGCAACTTGATGAGGTAGTAGTATAGTTAGAGTAGTCCAGAAGGTCCTGCAGCTACAGGTACATAACAGTAATAGTACATGATACAGATAAGATTGGTTCTCCTATTTGATATTGCATAGTTATGGTGTTTGATTTTGGAATTATTGAGCAGACGAAGAGAGAGAGAGATGTGGGTTATTTGATCTTTGCATTTGCTATTTCAGTTTTTAGCTACTTTATGCTGGCATTTACCCTCTTTCGTGATTCGTTGATATTGACTTTTACTTACCTTTTTTACTTCATTGATGTCCTTTAGTATGTCTTTGATTTTGTTGTTTTAATCCTTTTGTTTATTTCCTGTAGCTTCCTCTATCTTGTCTTTGGTCACATTTATTTAAACAATTCTTCTGTAAATCTGTCCTGTTCTTACAATTCATCTCATTATTTCCTAACTTTCTTCTCATTGTCTGTCTATTTTTTCTTGATCTTTATTCTACTGTTTCATCATTTCAGTGAAGTTTTCGATCTCACTTTGAGCATGTATCGTCATCTTCAAGCTGTACTTGATTTTATTTTACCAAAATATTACTACTCCACTGTTATAGCTCTTCTTATATTTTGCAGTTGCTTTGTATTATTCAATGAAAACAATAATGCAAAGCCTGCTCTACCTTACGATAATAAGAACTTTTGTTTATCTGACCACAAGTTCTACAAGTTATCGTACAGCATATTTCTTATTACTTCATCCAAACACAAACTCATAAAACTAAATTAATTGGCTGACAGTAACAAACAAACTCATTAACACACTGGCTAAGCCAATAATCAATCATAATCTCATTTACCCTAATTCGAATGTTATGCACCTCAAATCGTTTCCTAAACATTCAAAGAAAAATATATAATCATTAAGCCATGCTCATCACGTGATGTCAAACCTTCCTCTGTGTAAACATTACAAACACTTAAGTTAAAAACATAGCCTACAACATTGCTACCTTCCTCTATTGTGAATCCTTTGAATAAACCTATTGTACAAAAACAATGGTACATTTAATGTAAACTTCTATAATTAACAAGAAGGTAATTCTTCAATATTAACATCATTAATATTCATACATATATTATCATTCTTATTGTGACATAATATTGTATATACATAACTGATTGATAGATCATACTTTGCCAGCATAAGGCATTATGCACCATAATAATTAAGATATTGTAAATGACTAATACAAATAGCGTTTCGACCAAGCATGTCCAGCCAACCTGATGAGCTCTAGTATAAAATGAAAAACCTCGTCAGCAGTGACGTGTAGTACGCACAGTGTGCAGTCGAGATGTTCTTCTTATCCAGCTGAGAATAAAAAGTGGGGTACAGACATTCTTTACATGCGTGCTACACATAATAAATTTTACCAGTGCGGTAAGTATTTAGTACTAAGTAAAACTTTCTGTCTGTCTGTGGACACATTTCGTCCTAAACGAGTTGACCAAACCAAACCAAACTTAGTATACTAACTTAGTAATCAAAAAGCAAATCAAATTCCTATTAAACTTTCCCATATATTGAATAATAAACATATTTTATACAATAACCCCAATATCATTACTACAGAAGCTTTTGAAAATAACTGATACAGAATATAACTTTCCATAGAAGTAAAATTCAAGATTATTACTAAATTTAATGCATTAAATGTACCAAATTTAGACAGTAGACATCTTGACCACATCTCTACTATGAAATGGGCTGCTTTGAACAAGAAGTGACGCAACTGTTTAGCCATTTCTGCCAAGATTACTCGACTCGACTTCCACACCTTCTCAGTTCCGACCCACTTCCCCCGTCTAAGAACGGTTTTCTTGAATAATGAACACTACTGAAAATCCTTGCAGATATTTTGCTAATTTTCAGCCAATTTCTGCGTTTTCAAGAGAAAAAAAGACGCAAGAGTGCAGTCTCTTTAGAATAACCTGCAAACTTTTAAGGTAAGACATTTAAAGTGCATTACAAGAGCTTCGAAAAGAAAGCCCATTATGGACTGAGAATTAACTTTTACTTACAGACTTTCACCAGTTTGTTACGTCTCTGTTCGTTTGTTAATTTCCTATAGAAATTCTTCCCGAGAAACTTCAGCGATACAAGTCCTTTCTTAAATAAAACTAGTTTATTCTTTCTCAATACAACTTTGCAATACACTTAATTTCCACAGTCACTTTTACTTCAACACATGCTAGAATTCACAACCATTCACGCACTTTACTTACGGCTTGACTCAATTATCTGTCTCTATATCTCTCTGTATGCAATTCAATTATTTATGCCGTCACTTCTCGCCAGTCTTATAAATACAAAATAGAGGGCGTCTAGCAGACACTTGAGCCTTCAGGAACGTTGGAGATACTCATTACGTGTTACCGGCGTCACGTGACTTCCTCTGTCGTAACAGAAAGCCCATTATGGACTGAGAATTAACTTTTACTTACACACTTTCAGAGTAGAGCTGGGTACGCAATTTGCTACTTAAAAAATTAGTCAAAGTGCACATCTACTTAATTGGAAGATTTGATAAAACTTATTATCTGCTTTATTTTTATATAATATCACACAAACTACCGATACCTATGCTTCAATTTTTAATGAATAACGAACGATTCATATAAGTTCCCACAAACCAGCAAAAATTTAGTATAGTTCACAATAAAATTTTGTTCTGGATCACAAAGAAGTATCCCTTCTAACAGGATGAAAATGTCTAGAGGTGTGACTATCACAAAAATCTCAGACTGTTAGTGTTAGCTACAGATTTAGTACACTAAATCACACTATATCGAATAATGAAAATTATATTGTCCATGGTAAAGTTAGAAGATCTTGTAAAAACTAACTGAAATCTATGTTACTCTCTTATATTGCATTATCATTTTTGGCAATACATGGCAGGAACACCTGAAAAATCACGGGGCGGCTTGTTGAAGTATTTGTACACTTTGCTGTAGTTAGTGTTTAGTAAGCATGTAACGGGATACATCTGTTACTCATAAAACTTCTCATTACTGATTTAGTTTCAAGGGACATCGCATCTTCCATTGGATATTAATTATCTTTCATACAGCAAGACAGACTTTCGAAAAATTGTACAAAATATTTTATAAAACCTAGGCTAGTTACTGTAAGAAAATGTGCCTAAATATATTAAAAGAGTACAGTATATTTCGTCAGAATATAAAAAAATACTCACGTGTCGAACGCCGAAGTTGGAAACGAAAAGAACTGCTATTATCGACAGCCTGTAGAATAAAAGATAAAATAAAATATGGTTTACTAAAAAATTAAACCCATGTTATAAATATAAATAAATCTCATAGATATTGCTTTATTAATGTGTATATAATAATCAATTAACTCTTCAAGTTTATTAAATGTATTTTAGTATTCGAACATGAATGTAAGATTAAAAATACACTGGAAAATATTTTTATTTATTCCTTGACCTTAGATATTTAGATTACAGTTCAATTACATTTTGGTATAGACAAAATAGTTTGATCAGTTAACTATCGACTTGAGTTCGAGTTTTACTATGGGTTAATCTCAGATTCCTTGGAATGAAAATACATTTAATATTTCCTGGATAAAACCCTGTTTTCTCATTACACTGGTAAAAAAAAAAAAGATCTTGTTTTAAAAGTAAACTTCTTTTAGCAGCTTCCTCCACATTGACTGTTCATTTTAGTAGGATCCCTTCATACATTTTTTGTAGGACACTGCATTCTGTCGGATTGAAAAAGTCCAGATTATCAAACCTATCCTTTATGTTTTGTAATATTAAAAATTCAGATGAATTTTGAAATATTATTTGTCTGTAACAGTCTATCATTGATTATTTTAAAATAGTACCTTAAAGAAATATCACCACATTTCGCTAGTAATCGTCAGTTTTAGGCTGTTGCTGTGGCTATTCAGAAGTTGTACATTTTAGATCATTAATCCTACTTTATTTTGGGAATGCAGAATGGTCATTTTGGTATCCTTTTTGTAGCTTATTGAAAGCAAGGAAGTATTCTTTCTTTTTTTCTATGTAGCATTTTTTTCACTATTCTACTTTGCCTACGTAGTTGTTGTCTTCTCTGATGAGATCTTTGGTGACTACAGGGCCCAATTAAGAAGATAAATTTACCGCAAGTCTCGAAACTTAATGTTTTAGGTAGATTCGTGCTCATCTCACATGTCCTTGATGTTCAACAGCTCTGGAAATATCGAAATTCCTTTTGCCGTTGAGTTGTGTTCAGCTTGGGACAAGTGCTTCCAGTTTGTTTAACTCACCGTGGCATCTTCTCAGAGGTTTTTGAATGTGCCTGTTTATCTCTTCTTTGGACATCATTGGAACCAATTGCCTTATTTCAATAGGCTATACATAATTTCCCTTGGTGGACGGTAATTTATTATGAAAAACATGGCCTACCTTTGTGTGTTGCAGGTTGGTTTCCATGAGAATGGAGCCTAGTTGTGTGCAACATTAGTAAAAATGAATTTCTGGAATACGAGATGATTGGCCAATATGGCTTAGATCTGCAAACTGTGTCAGATAGTGCCACACATTCTGAATAGGCTGACAGATCATTAAATGTAGATGACACTTTGCCACACTCTGTTACTAGGGGGTAGAAACAACATAGAGATGCCTTGTTACCAGGGTTGTATTGGCATAAGGTCCTGTGCTATATAATGTCACACATATTGAATAGGTTTATAGATTATAAAGTAAAGAAGACACTTTGCCATGTTCTGTTACTAGAGAGTAGAAAAAACATGGAGATGCCTTGTTACCATTTGTTAGAAGGGCTGTATCGACATAAGGTCCTGTGCTAATGAGGCTCCTTGGTGATGGGAGAGTACCTTTTACAGTGGGTCAACCTCAAGAATGACGGCTCCATTTCTATGGTTACCAGTTTACCGTCACTCGCCTGTCTTGTTAAGGCGGAAAGGGCTAGAAAAGGGTGTTATTAGCAGCAAATCATTAATGTATTGCCCATAAACTATGATACAATTTGCCTACAAATTATGATACATTGGAAAATAGTGCCCAAACAGATGCTTACTGGAGCAGTGTACCCTATACACTCAGCAGGGATCTTCATTTACTAGTATGAAAAGGAGAATAATAAAGAAACCAAGCATAAAAATGGTAGATCACACATGCACGGAAAGTGCTTGAGACTACACCATTCTTTGTGGATGCTGCCATCCCTCTGAAAAAACACTAAGGTACCTGTAGGTAACCTTTGACAAACAACACAACTACCATTCAACAACCAGAGCTACCAGAGGCATCCATACATTAAAAGTTGCAGCAAGAGACATAACTTCCTGCTAATAACTCACCATACAGTAACATATATTAATTTGAGAATGAGAATAATGTTAGACCATTGCGCCTAATTCATTATTTGAATTATACAGCGAGCCAACTGTTTAATTATATATATATATATATGTGTGTGTGCTACAAATTTCTTTTTCGCTAAAAGTGAAATTGAAATTTTACCCGGAAAGTCACGTCTGAGAGACGACCCACTATGTCATATGGGCCTTCCCATGGAGAAGACAACTTGAGATGCAGAATTTATGACAAAGTTGCACCTTTGGCCATCCAGCTTCCCTGTCACGTAGATACTATGTGTGCTTGCCATTTTACACTTAGCTGTTGGGACTTTCACGATGGAGGTTGGTGGCATCCCTCAGCACCAACCATTACTGGTTTCCTGAAGCTGACTTATTGGTGGTATTTTTCTTACACTGGCTCCTCAGATGTCCTTGCTCCCCACAGTTCCAACAGCCTTTCTAGGTAGCAGTCTTTCCTGCTGTATCATCTCCCCTGTGTTGAAGTTTCCAGCATTGAGCTCTTTTGTGCCCAGGTTTATTACAGTGCCAGCAAAGTCCCTCAAACCTCTCTGAAAGCTGACCTTTTCTGGCCTTGAATCCAGAAGACTGTACCAACATTGGTACCTCTGTGCTGGACTTAAAGTAGGATTCAAATTCGAGAGCTCTGGCCATTGCATCCTGCATGGTAGAGAGGTGTGCTTGCTTCACTTGTATCTTAAGTTGTGGACTGTCCAAGGCATCTACGAACTGAACCCTCAGCAACAACCTGAGGAGATCGGGTGGTGCAGTTAGGTAGGCCTTGTGTGCCATGCTTTCCAAGTCCTATGCCAGCTCTTGCAGGCTCTCTCCTTTAGCACGGACTCTCGTCCTAAACCTAGCCCTGTAGACTTCCGACTGGCTTTCTGCTCCTCTGTC